GAGACCGCGCTGGGGGGCTGCACAGATGCCCTTTAATCGCTTCCTTCCGCCTGAGTACGGCGATGGAGTTGACAGTGTTCGCAGCTCAACAGATGGCAGCACTTTGTCCTCCTCGCGTTTTGTCAGCTTGCTGGTGCATGGTGCACGCGAAGGCGAAGCCCCACTCACGCTCATGATAGCGCAGTGGGGACAGCTACTGGATCACGACATGACGTCGACGGCACAACCACGGTAAGGAGAGCTAGCGAATAATTATCCGGTTAACTAAACATTTTACTTTCGGGCAGGTCAATCAACGGCTCTATACCCAGTTGCTGTGGCGGCAAGGACTTTCATCCATCGTGCTTTCCAATCAAGGTCCCACTTGATGACCCATGGCTTTCGCCACTCAAGGTGCGCTGCCTGGAGTTTTTGCGTTCGGCCCCTGCACAGCGTCGTGACTGTGTACTATCCTGGCGTGAGCAAACCAATCAAGCCACGTCCTATATTGATGCTTCGCCCATTTACTCAAACAGTGCCAAGTCCTCGGACAACGCACGTATTTTTCGTAATGGCCAACTGATCTATGGCCGTGGCAATCCGGCTGATGATGTTTGCCAGCGCGGCGCTATCGCGACACAATGCATCAGACCCGGTGACGGGCGTAGCGGCGAACAGCCTGGTCTGCTGGCCATGCATCATGTGTGGGTCGGCGAGCACAATCGCATTGCCTTAGAGTTAAGTGAGCTGAATCCACACTGGAGCGACGAAAAGATCTATCAGGAAACGCGACGAATTGTGGGTGCCATGTTTCAGCACATTACATATAGAGAATTCCTACCAGTGATACTGGGCAAAGAAGTGTGCAAGCTGTTCGACTTGGAGCTGCTGAGCACCGGTTTCTACGAGGGATATGACCCAAAAGTCAATCCCACCGTAGCCAACGCGTTTTCTTCAGCAGCCTTTCGATTCGGTCACTCACTGGTACAGAATTCCTATATGAGATGCGACCGCCATCACAATGTTATTAACAACAGTAAGTTTCAGCGATATTCTTAAATTCTAATCCACCAGCATGCTGTGCTATGCTTACCTTATCTGTAGATGTCAGTTTGCATGAGGAGTTCCAGAACGGTGACATTGGTACTGCTGGCTCACTGCATCGTCTGCTCCGAGGAATGGCTTCACAGCGCGCGCTGAAACGCGACGAGTTTATTACGCCTGAGCTGACCAATCATCTGTTCCAGACACCAGGCTTTCCCTTTGGCCTAGACCTGGCCGCTATCAACATTCAGCGTGGGCGGGACCATGGCCTAGCTCCGTACACCTCGTGGCGTGTTCCTTGTGGACTGAGTCCCATTCAAAGCTGGAATGAATTTGGTAATGTTGTGCCATAGTGGGTCGTTCAGCATACTTATACTTCTCTTACTTATCTCTGTCATAGCCAATGTAGTGGGTCCAGAGTCGGCTAAACGAATTGGCCACGCCTACCGAAGCGTTCACGATATCGATCTCTTTGTCGGTGGTATTGCGGAAAGGCCCGTAGTTGGTGGTTTGGTTGGTCCTACTTTTGCCTGCATCATAGCTCAGCAGTTCAGTAACTCGCGTCGTGGTGATAGATTCTGGTACGAGAATGGCGGTTTTGAGAGCTCATTCACACCAGCGCAGATCCATTCGCTAAGGAGAGTATCGCTAGCGCAAGTTTTATGCCGTGCAGTGGGCGGGGGCACATTCCAGCCACATATTTTCATTCCTGCTGAGTTTACAGACAACGAACGGCAGAACTGCGGCACTGGCATTCTGGGGTCCATTGATCTGAGTCCTTGGCTAGAGCAAGATCCGTTTTTGGCGGCCAAGCATCAACCCGATCATGTTTTTAACATTGTACAACCGGAGCTGTCCCAAAATGAAATGAGTTTTACGACAAATCTGAAGGAAGACAAAGCAGGTTTTTCAAACCGCTTGAAGCCTAGCCAGCCTCATGTGGACTTTAGTCCTAACCCAGCTACGGGCTTTCAGCGACCAAAAAATGGAAGCATACCCAAAATTAACGACAAATTAGACCTAAAACGAAAGACGCTGACCACGACGAAGACCCCTACTCGCAAGATACCTGTCACCGGAATAAACAATAAGCTAGACAAATCACCCAAAATAACTATTAATATTAAGAACGTGATCACTAGAAAACCAGGAGGAACTACACCGAAGCGGACGGTGATTATAAACAATGTCCCAATTGAACTACGCAGTGCCGTGGACGGCAACACAACAACGACAGAGACAAGTCACGAAATACTTTCGGACACAGAAACCGAACCGCACTCAAATGATACAGATTTACCAGAACTCCGAGATATCGACACTTTTCATGAAACGAACTCGAACTATACTCCGACAACTACTGAAAGACCTAGAACAACGACCCCAATCACGATAGAATCCCATCTACAAAACAGTGACGCAGATGACATGATTGGCCCACTAAGACAAACTTCTGAGGACCTTAGCAATAGCAAACGAATACAGCGTGGTGTGCAAAACTCCAAGGAACTGATTAAACCGAAAACACCTGACACAGTACTCGGCACTAGACTGTTGCACACGCAACGCAATCGCACAACAAACCAAATTATTTCAACAATAAAGGCAATTCCAAGCACAACTGCTAGCCTTTCCCGTGTCAGTCGTACCACAAAATCATCTAAATCGTCTAAAACGACGAAACGCGGCGTAGAGTTGCGCAGCCATTACCAAAATAGACCGGCCTATCCCCAAAAGGTAGTTGTGAACGGACCCAACTCGAATGACCAATATGAAATTGAGATTAATATACGGCAGACAAACAAAAGTCCAATAACGAAGCCACTCAGTTCAGAACATAGCGAGTACACTACATCGACCATTTATAGGCCCTACAATAACTACGAAAATAGCTACGCTCCTCACTATATGGACTATAGCAGCACTACGCCTAGTTACGGGTATTATCAAACACAAAGGGACACAATCATACAGTCACAGAAAACGAAACCACCGACAATTATTTACTTAACTGACCACGATGACAGACGCACCACAACACGAGCACCGAACATTTTTCAAAACTTTTTAAGCTTTGCCACCAATAGTTTAAATCCAAATGCCAACCGACGACCCACACAGGCGCCAGAGCCAAGTCCAATTTCATCGATCCACCAAGAGCGACCTTATCAGGAAACTCATGTGATAAACAGTCCAATCAGCGGTGGTGGCTCACATATTATAGCCAACTCAGCGTATGCACCACGGCCACCTTTCTCACAATCACACCCGGTTACAAGCAGCTCCCAAATTGGGGAAAGCTCCCAATCCAATTATCTGCATGCGTCCAGCAGCGCCGTTAGTTCTGGACATTTTGGCAGCATTTCGGGTGTGGCCAGCGCAAATGGGGCCGATAGCACATTCAGTTTTAATATACGTCCGCGTCCTGATATTAATCCGGTTTTTAGTTCTTACCCGCGTCCGCATAACCTTGCTGGAAGCTACGGTCAGGCTTCCCAGTGGCCGTACAGGCCGGACTACCCGCAAAGCCAGAGCGAACTATATTACGATCGGGAGCTGACCCAAAACCTCAGTCCTTTCTCTAGTGGCACTGCGGGCCACAGACCACTGACACAGACGCAGACACAGACGTACTATGCTCGCATGCCGGAACTAAAGGAGGCAGATAGTGCCACCAATGAGTTTTCGAATACGGACCACAAATTGGATATCGTACGCGACTACGACTTTTTGAGCCGAACGCTGAACAATGTCACTATCAATGAGAGTTCACTGGAGAGCAATGACGATTACGTATATGACGAGGACGAACTAAACAAAACCATAGATTTCACCAACTTAGGTAAACTGACGAGTGGAATAACGACATCTTCGAAAACATACATCAATAACAGTTTAGGCAACGACGCACCCACAAACTCAACTACGACCACCTTGAACATCACTTACCTGGACGACAACTTCGTACTGCCCATGTTGAAGAACAAGACACATACAATGTACGTGACAGAAATGCCCAAACCAATACTGACATCTTCAAGCCGAAGCGCAACTAACAGCAAAGTAACGGTCTTTCCGGACAGTGTTGGGAAACAGCTGGGCGGCCATATATTGGCCGAAACCGAGGACTATGAAGAACGATCAGCAGTTGTCAGGGCAGTTCCCCAACAATTTTCTAATTTAGCATTTGCGCCTATAACCGTGCTTACCAAACCGGACAGGTGAGTTCGAAGGAAAAACAAATAAGGAAGTAGCACTAAAAAATACTAATTTACGTTTTAATAACAGACCTGATAATTGGGTGATATTCAACAAAACGAACGAAGAGCCGCCTCTACCGCAGCCACCAGCAGTGAGTACGGCTATGGGCGCAGAGCCCACTGCAGAGGTGCCAATACCATTCTACAGTATAAGACGCAAACAGAACATACGTGTGGCACAAGCAGTCGAAGCGAGTCCTAAAGAGCCAGAAAAAGAAACTGTCGCGCCATAGGAATGGGCAGTAGAAATCCCAAATTAGTCTTAGTTTATTTATTGTATTAAATAAATATACCCACTTTGGAAAATGTACTTTGCATAATCAGTTACTTTAAATTTAATTTACCGCTATGATTTAAACTTTTTTTTATTAGCGCGCAATCAACCTTGCCAGATAACAAAACCAAAAAGCGTCAACTATTATTATCGATAAATATAATAACAACAGTCGCACAGCCTATCGGATAGCCACCACAATTACCATCTATAAACTGAATAAACTGAATAAACTGAATAAACGAAGAAATTTTCTCTTCATATTTAAATTTATATATAAAAGACTGTGCAACAAAGCAATCAGGATTCGATGTGTGCGGCGGCGTTTAACTGCCGTCGCTAACGCCTGCGTTAAAAGCTGCTTGTGGATATTTGTGTTACGGTGGGCCTGTTGTTGCTGTTCTCGGTAAATTTTTAAGTCTGATTTTCGAGTCTGTGAGGCAATGGAGACTGATTACCAAAATTACGTCGAGTCATTGTCGGGGGTTTCTTCGGATGACGATGATATATCTACGGTGGATAGTTCTGATGAGGCTGAGGAGTCGACCAACTCGCAAACTCACCCATTGCAGACGCAATCGCGAACGCGAAATTTGGTACAAATGTTGTACGACAGAGAGGTATGTGGATTACATACGTATGTATGTAAATAGGATTCCAAAAGTTCACTTCTAATAAATGTACACCCAAACTCCAATAGCGCACAGGATTTTTCTCAGGTCAATCACGGGAGGGCCAAAAACTGAAACTTCCTTACGACCAAGTGCCAAATAGGTTAAAATTATATCTCAAGGACGTGTTGGCAAGCAATGCCTTAGAGGGGTAAGCACCCCAAAGAGGGAAGGGCATTCACAAGATTCGCTCTAAGACCATTTCTTCCAGGCACATATTCATGGGACTGACTGCTTGTGGGCAGTACATGATCAGCCATCGAGTCGTGTGCAACGACAACACATCACTCAACCATTACTCCTTTAATGTGGGCTACAAGTACACGTAAGTCATAGCATTGACATATAAACAGCATTAAACATCAGTTTTCTACCACATAGTCTTTACTTTTGGCTCTTTCAACCCCACAAAAAAATGCGATATTTTTTCTCGCGCCGTTTGTTCGATGATCATGTGGTCGACAATCTAAAATCGGTCACCATGACACAGTGGAAAAATGCAGACCAGCAAATTCTGGTTGTACATGGCGCTGCGACGGAAGAGAGCGAGGAAAGCTATATAACATATGTCAAAGTTCCTAAGCTTGGTTGTTTGGAGTGTAGAAAGCTTTGCGATGACGGTCCATGTGATTAACATTAATGCTTATATGCCGATGGCCAAATAACCTACATTATACATTTTCAGGTTCCTTTTACAATGCACACTGTCTCAATTGCCATTTGACAGTACACACAAAGTACTCCTCGACCGAAACGGATCCCCGTTTCGAGCCGACAATAAATCTCCTTTGCCCAGAGCGCATTCTCATTATCTCGAATGGCTTCATGCACATGCTGCGAATTGACGTGGACACGCCGGCCGTACCCAATAGCAGCTCCTTGCCACAGCAAAATTATAACCTGCCCTGCACTCAGCAAAACCTGCTGCTACCACGCACTCCACTAGCCAGCGAAGAAGATCGCTGCTCCGTCCCCTTTACTGGTTCTGAAGCGGATAGTGAGCACAGCGTTGTAGCACGCATTATTGCGGATTTCAGTGACATTGAAACTGATCATACTCACCGCACTAATAATGCCATTAACAATAAAGATAACATCGAAATTCAACAGCGCAGCTATGCAGAACACAATAGCGTCGGTTACGAAAAGTTAATTTTTTCGTCTAACTGCAGCAACGGCGTAGCTGCGTCTAGTATGACACTGTTGGAAACCACCTTACCAGTGGTAATACAAAATGTTGTTGGCACCAATGAATCCACCCAATCAAGGAAGCGCAATCAGCGTATTGTCACTAGATCTTACCGCAACGGAATCACAACAATTGATATGCAAGTAAGCTTTCCATGATATGGCTTCTTTATGAATAGTATATTTATATATTTGGTAGAACACATCGACTTCCAGCTCAATGACAGACAAATCAAATGCCTACGAGTTCTCCGAAGACAACGAAAAGTGTGAAAAGATTTCAACATTTCGCAAGCGTCGTCTTGCTGATAAAAAATATGAGTTCTCCGAGGATAACTCTGAAAACATCATACCGTTCACCAAAATTCGTTCAGCAGGACGTACAACGTTTAGCCCATCAACTGCTAGTTCATCTGGCCAGCGTAGTCTGCATAGGTTTTCACCCACGGCACACTATTTTCACAATTCTCCATGTGCTTCCCCATCATCATCGCCACACCCAACACAGCCATCACATACCCCGCCACCGCCGCTGCATTTGGGATTTCGTTCACCGCCTTCCAGCTCGAGTCTAATGCGCTCGCCCAGCCGCAATGCAAATGCAGCCACTGTAGCTGCTCAAATTTACAATCAAAAGTCGCCACCGCTGTCCCAGGCGACACAACAAATGCTCAGTTATAAGCCCGTTGGACCTTTGGGTGCATTATCCCCACTGCAGGTATCTATGGCCAAGCGCTTTGAGATTGGAGGATCAATGTCACCCAACGCCGGGCTGTCATTTTTATCGCCGCGGCGTGATGAGCAGCGCATTGTCGAAATGCCAGTGCAGGGCGGAGTTATGCCAGAGAAGCCGGTATGCACCAAGAAGCTGCGACGTCGCTATGTAGATGAGGACGATGCCACCTCTGTAATTACTAGTGAAGAAGGTAAGCCTTCCAATCATTACAATATATAATGTCGTATGTCGTATTTAATATATACTGTTTTATCCACAGACGATTGTATCTCCCCGGGCTATCATACCTCGCTTCCCATGGAGGTGCACGGCTCTTGCTATTCTGAAATGCAAATGATTTCACAGGCATCCTTTCAACGCTTGCGCTGCAGCAGCGTGGTTATAACACAACACTCCTTTGATCTTGAGACTTTCACCTATTATGTTATAAGCATGATCTGTCAAAAGCATCAAAAGATCTACAATGTATTTTACGATTGGGCCTATGAGTTCATCAGTGTTTGCCCGCTAAGCCAAACTATTAGCTGTATGCTCATGGCACAATTCTCGGCACGCGATCAAATGCCTGCCACTCCAACTAATTGTATGTACTGCACAGGTCGCATGGGCTGTGTTTTTCACAATCGACAATACGAGTGTCGTATTCTTTTCACCTGGAATATGGAGAGTGGACAATGGCAGGTACTTGACTATGGCGAACTCAAAGAAATGCACGAACTGTTCAGCCCTCTTAAGCGGCTTGGGAAATCTCGTTTGACCTTTGCTCAGGTGGCCAGACAGATCGCTCAGGAAATGTCAGCTAGTCTAAACCGGCTGCCTGATTATACCTCTAATTTGCGAGTACTCAACTCAGATATGAAAAAGTCTAAATCATCTATTTGCGATTTGGACAACATGGTGGAGTTTCATCTGAAGCGCACGATCAACTAAAACCTGCTTATGGCTAGGGTATAAATTGCTGTTGTACAGTTTTGCTGTTCCCTCGCCAAGTACAAGTGCATCTAGTTCAGTTTCAAACACAATAACTTGTGCTGTATTTAGTTTTAAAAAACTTTTTTATTAGTTCAACGAAACGCTTTTGCAAAAGTTTAAAATGCGTCCTAGTTTTGACTGAAATCGTTTAATTATACTACAAATAGTAGTTAATTTTATGGCATACATACAATAACGCATATGTATATAATAAAATACTTTTGATATTTCACATCATACTAAATACAACTTAAAAATTAATTAGTAATATAATATGAATATGGGCTCAGAAATATGGTGCCACATAGCTAGATACGCCTGTCCTATGGGTTGACTTAAATATACAAATCTAATCATATTTAATATTTTAAGACTTGAGTGAGTGAGTAATATTTTGAGAAGCTAATATGGCCAATGCATTGCTAATTAATGACAACCAACACTTAAATATAAACTATATGTGCTTTTCAAACATTTTTATTTTGTTTTTATTAAGCTTATGTATGGGTAATAGTTACAAAGTGTAAACCTATCGTAGAAATGTCAATACCATCTGAGGGTATGTACTCTATCCTTAAATTTAAGCCGATAATCTTTCAGATGTTCTTCTGGGTTTTAGAAACATTATTACGTTTTTAGGGAACATTATTGTAAAATGCTGATCTGCTTCCCTATTGTGCTTCCTCTGAAGATTATCTCTCAGTTTTTGGTAGAAAACAAATTTCAGTTAGTGGAGGTTGAGTAGAAGTTGACGTAAGTGACATATCAGTTCGGGACTTCCTTTTTACAATTCTAATAACAAGAAATTACATTTAGTTTAAATTAAAATGCGAGAAGAACTCACCGTTCAGCAATGGATCTCAAGACATCTTTTTTTATGATTGTTACTACGAACAATATAACACCTTGGGCAGATGTGAGCATATCAGCAAATTTAACCCACATTGAATTTACATTAAAAAGTAAACAAAGATATGAAATGATTTCAAGCAGCCACATCACGCCCACAATAATAAATAACCGGAAAAACATTTCGAAACTAAAAAATAATAAGTGTAATAACTGTCCCCGTACGATTAAATGTTAATAAAGCTTACTTGGTCAGATTTCTTAAGTTACGCTGGCATTCCGTTTTTTTCAACTGACGTTTGTTATTTTTATTTTGTACAAATATTCGCATTGCCGTTTTAATAAAAAATGTTGTATTGCATACAATCAAAAGAAATATTGGTCCATAAAAATAGATCATAGCCGACACTTTAGAGGCTAAGCTAAAAATTAAAGCAAAATAAATACATTAATAAAATCAGAAAGTTCTTACTAATAATCCAACACGAATAAATCCCAACGCCAGGTTTAAATATAAACATGTTTGGATCCTCCTCATTCTCATTGACTTCGTATAAGAAATCAGCCAAGCATGTAATTATAAGAAAGATGGCCGCAACACTCCAAACAAAAATATTATAATTCGTAAATCGGGACCTCCGGCGAACTCCAATGTTGTTAAATGTTTTCCACAAATTGTAGTTTATTAACAAAAGCCACAAGAATGTAGCCATGATGACATAATAGCCACTATAACCTGAAATATAAATTACAATATTGAACATACAATATCTCGATCAGACTTACCTATCAAATAGCATATGTGACTGTGTACTGTGTCTACCCATCCAAAAGTTACAATAACATGCAATAAGAAGCTCAGAGTAAGGCAAGTAAAGTAACATGTGCAACATTTTCCGTGAATTGATTTAAAATTCGGTAGAAACAGGTACACCACAATTATAATAGCCATGAAGAATATCGACACCGTCTGGACTGTAAGTAGTAAGTGGAATGAATGAATATTCATTTTAAATATGATTCCTTTAACCCTGGTACGTTATCCTTTTTTGTGTTCTAACATCCTGATTCGTTTTTTGAAGGACGACCTATTTAAAATCCATATTAATCAGATAATGATAAGTTTTGCTATTTTGTTTATTTCGAATCACAATTAAAAGGAATACTTTTATTAAACTACTCCTTTAACTAAAAATTGAGTTTTCACAGCATACCTTCAACTTTATTTCTGTTATAATCCAATACTTGTTAATAAAAATCTTTTTGTTTCTTAAAACTACTAATAATAAAAACTTAAAAAGGAACATCACGTATCCGTCAAACCATGCAAGAGACTAGAGCTGTACGAAAATTAGGATCAGAACAAATAACAAAAGCTTAAAATAACTTTAAAAAGGAACGCACCTCTAGGGACAAAAGAATTTCGCAAAAAACAACTAAAAACATTAAATTACTATCTGGTTCATTTTAGCAGAAAGGCACAACAATGTATATTGTTTAGTGCTATTGGTATTTCGAGCATTAAATGTGACATACATACATATAGCTATGACATAACTCTGTTACTCATATGCGGATAATGGTGTATCTTACTATAGTCGCTGGTTTTGTCAATTGGTGGAAGGCAATGGTGAGGTTCTAGTTTATAGAGGAGCTGGCTATCCGGCCGATGAATTGGTTGCAGGCAATAATCTCGCTTAGATAATTGCCCTCCATCGAAATGACGGACCAGAGTACCGTTCTGAATTATAACAAATTAAAAACTTAATAAAAAAAAGAAAGAATTGTCAAAAACTCGAACCTCAAATAAAGTCCAACCATGTTTTTCGTTTCCAGCGGCGTTAACCAGTAGGTGGTCTTTACAAGGCACAGGGAGATGCTTTTGCACAATAAATTCCATAACATCTTTTTCTACTTCAGTGCCATCATGCATTGTTATATTCAAAAAAGAACTATAGTTTAAATTAATATTGCCTTCACATTTCCCCTCTCCTTTAACGAGTAACTTTTGAGGATCACAACAAAACCGAACACACGACTTGATTTCGCAGGCACATCCTCTTGTGTGCTCAAGCACCTTCTCGCGTTCACCATTAAACAATATCTGGTAGTCGTATAGGTCGACTTTCTCCTTTGGTATTAAAATATCCTCGTATAGATATGTTCCATTCTCGAATTTGTGGCTATTCGTAAGGTCGACAGTATCAAAGTAATCGCAACCGGGAAGATCTCCCACTGTTGCAACAATGAGTGCACTGAGTATACCAAAAGCAACTGCTACATTCTTCATTATATCTAGAATTCAGAAAAAATTATAAAATTATAAGCTTTAACTTTAATTCATAAAATTATATAATGGAAGGGTTTCATTACCGAAACTTTGTGCTTGTTTTAAAAATAACCCAGTAAATTTATCTTCTCTGCGGAGACAAGGATATGACCACTTTATCTAGTTCAAGTATGCTTTTTTGCACTAATCTACCCACTGACCGGCGCAGATCAGTGGACAAACCAGCATACCAGGTGTGCATTAGAAGGTCTCCCAGCGCTCCGTCAAGGATGGCATGATCCACCAATATTAGCAATTCTTTGCCAGAGGGATTTAAGTCGAGGTTTGATTTGTCAGGCCAGGCAGCTCAAGCCAACCGAAGAGCTCCCTGGTGAAATTTGAACTCACTTACCGCAATTGTGGAAAAATCGCGAAAAACGTTTGTATGACACTTTTTTGTTTACCATCCGATCGGCCTCAAACTCATTTGAAAAGATCTTTGTTCAAATTCAATGGAGGGGTGTTTCACGAAAAATCCATTCCTCCTTGGTGGAAATGGATGTCAAAGATTTGGTGGGTGACGTATCGCGCTGAAATTCATTTCCAAGGAAGTTTTAAATTTTGTCCCATTTGCTGCAAACTTATTCCACCCGCAACAGTGGTAAATTGGCAGAAAACGGTTGTATAAAAGTTTTTTGTTTACCACACTATCGGCTACAAAAACAGTTTCAAAGACCTTTGCCAAAATTCATCTGATGGGTATTTCGCACTTTTTGGAAAATCCATTCCTCCTTGGCGGAAATGGATGGAAAGGTAATATCTAAAAATTTTAGCACAAAACGTTTCACGGGCAGGGCCGGGCAGTACCCGCTAGTTATATTAAAACACAACAATTTTGGAGATTATATCGTAATAATGCCAATTATCATTATATTATTGCAATTTAAAAATAATTTAAGATTACAAAAACAAGTAGGCCGCGCGACTCAGGCCTCCTGCCTGGCTTATAACTTATTTTAAATGCTACTTACAGCTCCTATTCAATTAAAATCGTCGTCAATTAAAGAACACACCAACAACTCACTCCACTAATCCGTCCGATTCGATGTCGAAGCCTTGCAGCATTAAAATAAACTGGAATACACATCTGTTATTTTTCTTACATTTCATAATTTAAAAATATTTTAAGACTGATTACTCAGAAAACACTTTTTATATTTTATATACCCTACAGCCATTAATAAGGGCTAATGTACGAGGCCGGTAGGGATGTATGTCCGGGCCCCACAAAGTTTATATATTCTGAATCAGGTAGACGAGATATAAAACAATAAAAGGTAAAGACTTTTTATTTGTTTTATTTACAAAATATCAATATAAATCAAATTTGAGACTTCTTTTTTTTTTTGATTACTTCCCCTATTCACCAAATATTGAAAATAAAATATATTTTAAGCTAGGGCCTTGTGTATTGGTATAAACACACATTTGATAAATATGTATATATATGTGCCCTGCAAATTTCTAAATATCGCACAGCAAGCAGATAAGTTTTTCAACATTAAATTTCCAATATTATGGGGCAGGTGGAACACGCAGCTTTCCCGCTGCGTATGTTTGTGTATTTTGCATAAATGCATCATAAGTACTTGAATGGGCTTTCTGGAATTCATATTGACGTAAAAGATAAATATAACCTTACTTCTAATTAGGGAGAAAGATGATTATTTGTAACTATTTTCCTTTGTTAGAGCTGCGATACAATTATAAATCAAACAACCAATACCAATAATAAACTAAACTTAACTAAATAAAAATAAAAATAGCTTAAATTCGTGTTAATCAATCCGTGTTAAAATTAACATTGTATAAGATTTAATTTAGTATAAGTAGAACTAGAAAGTAGTAAGTTATCAAATTTAAAATACATATGAATACATTTTATTAATTTTATTAAAATAATTTTTTTGATAGATGTCATTTTTTCAGTTCAAATTTTTAATTAATTTATTTTATGAATTCAAAGCGTGATGCTAAAAATCAAAGTAAAATGTGGTAAAGGGTATTTTGTAGTGGAACACACTCAACTACAGCGTTTCTACTTGATATAATTTGTACGTTCGACAATGGCATATGACGTTTAACAACTACAACTGCGATAAGATCCATAAATAACATAGTTCGATTTATCAGGGCATACGAGCAATTACAAACAAGCTTCATAAGTTCATTCTCTTCATTCTTCATGAGTTCATTCTCATACCCAAAAATTAAAAAATTTCTTCTTTAAGTGTTTAGATTGCAGAGTTTCGTCAAATGGAAGATACTGAATGATTACATTTTTTATATCTTTATA